ATATTATTTGGAGTTTATAGGTTTTTTCTGTCACCTAGTTTCATTAAAACTGTAGTTTGTATATGGGGTGTATGTGAATGTATGGGGGTGGGTATTTATTCTCTCTGTTGCCCTTTATGGTTTTTTAGGAGAAGTGGGAAGATTGGGGACTAGGCATGCTCCTTCCAGAGATGGAACCTTTTGGATATCTATTTATACCCACACAAATCACAATGATTTAATACTTTAAATTGGAAAGGGAAGGCTGGAGCGTATTAGGTAAAGTTCTAAAATATTACATTGGAACATCACATTTGTTTTGCAGTAGTAAGGTTTTGTTAAAATGGGCACATTGGGTATTTTATTCTCAGCTTTTAGGAAGGAGAGCTAAGGCAAAGGATACTCTTAGCATCTGTGTGAAATCTTTGGGTGCAGTAGGGTCGCGGGAGAGATGACTATACCCAACTTTATTACCTTCGACCAGGTTTTAAATAATTTTTTAAATTTTGTAATTGAATGGTTGCTTTGGGCATTTTGTGTTTCAGGGACAAAAGTGTTGTTTGAGAGAAAGATGGAAATGGAAGGATTGAGAGATAATTACTTCTTGGGGTCAACATTGTAGCTTACGAGATAAACTCCTATGTCTGAATACGTAGCTCTACTGGCCCCTCCCTTTCTTCGGGGTCTTTTAAAGAGCAGAGGGATGACAGAAGATTTTGCTGTTCAGGATTATTTGCTATTAAGTTATATTGTAACCAAATCAATAACACATTGTTACATGGGCCATCCATGGAAATAGCTTTGTTACAGTGACTGCTGCCTTACATTGTATTTCACAGAAATGGTTCTAATTTTCTGTTGTGAAAGCAAGGAAACTGTTATCAGTGGATAGGGAACTAAAGATAGATTTTTATCCTCCCAGCATTTAACCTAGAACCTGTGACATAGCAGGTGACCAGGAAAATTAGTTGGTCAAATTCATCCGAGAAATTCCAAAATGTACATTGAAATTTTCTTATAGTAATACTCTAAATAATGACTATTAATGGAATTGTCAAAATGTAAGAAAACTTTAAGTACAGTTAGTTCACGCTTCATATAAGATTGGATTGGATGATTGTAAATCTCCCCTATTTAGCCCTATGTATTTTTGTCAATATATGTTTTAGTTCAATGTAGCTCCACTATTCTAACCACATTTTACTTAGACTCAAATTTCTTACGTGATATTTAGCTATTAGTATTGCTCATCATTGAAAGATACTAGTTGGATTTCTTTTTTCAGTCTGATTCTGCCCATTTTCTGCCTGTCATGGATTGAATTGTGTCCCCCAAAATATCTGTCAACTTGGCTAGGTCATGATTCCCAGTATTGTATGATCGTCCACCGTTTTGTAATCTGAGGTGATTTCCCTATGTGTTGTAAATCCTGTCACTATGATGTAATGAGATGGATTAGCAGCAGTTATATTGATGAAATCTTCAAGATTAGATAGTGTCTGTAGCCAGTCTCTTTTGAGATATAAAAGAGAGAAAGCCTTTTCCTGGAGCTGATGCCCTGAATTTGGACTTGTAGCCTACTAGACTGTGAGAGAATAAATTTCTCTTTGTTAAAGCCGTCCACTTGTGGTATTTATGTTATAGCAGCACCAGATAACTATGACAGTGCCAATAGGAAATTGTAATTATTGGATTGAATCTCTTGTATATTTTTTATAGTTGTTAGGAAAGTACTTACTGGTAGAGGTTGGATTTGTGTTACTGTGCATACTCCACTGTCTGTTAGCTCATTTTTCTCTGCTGGTGGCTTACCATTAGAGTGATAATAAAAATGATAGGTGTGAGTGTGAGTCACTTGGGGAGCTAGAGTCTGTTTTTAAATACCCTGTTTCCTTCCTGGGTTGGAGCCAGTGCTGTGAAGCTGGAGCAGAAGAGTCTGGGACTAAATGAGAAACTATTTTGTTCTGTAAGCTTTCATCTTAAGTGAGAATAACAGCACAATTGGAAGAGCGTAGTCACTGTCCCTGAACTGTGCATGTAGAAATTTTTGAAATGGTGTGTCTTTGGCTATGTGTATTTTCACCAAAAAAAAAGGGTTGAGAAGTTAGAGGGTTGACATGTTGTGGGGTTTAACCAATGTCATAAAACAATATGTGTACTACTGTTTCATGAGAAACTATTTGTTCTGTAAGCCTTCACCTGAAAGTACAATTGAAAAAAAAAAAAAATTCTGGGAATTATGACCTTGATCCATCTTGTTGGAATGATTTGATTTGCAGGTGGCACGGAACAGAAGATTATCAGAAGTTGAGTCTCTCTGCATTATTGCTGTGGGGTAGAATTTTAATTTTCAGAAAGGTTTTTATTTAGCTACAGATGACTTTCTTTCAGGCTTCCTGGTTAGCTGCTGTGTTGCAGTGCATGAAATTAAAGGACAGTTGTTGCTCTTTTGAATGCGTCAGGGCTCATGACATCCATTTAGTTCAGGGCTGTCCCTTATCTTCTGCCATATTTGCAAATGTGGTCCAAATAGGGATTGCTCTAGTAAGTGGATTAGTAGCTTTTCCTAATTACCATATATTATGGTTATTATGTTTTATATAATTGTAGTTTTGGCTGCTAGAGTTAAATTTTAATTAAAAATTAAGTAGATGGTGGTGAAGTGGATGGATCTAGCCAAAACTGGGTTCAAAACTTCCTAGCTGTGTGACATTGGGCAAGTTACTTGACTTCTCTGTCTCAGTTTTCTCGTATGTTAAGTGAGAATAGCGTATACATCATAGGACTGAAGATTAAATGGAATATGCACTTAGCCTTGCACCTGGTACATAGTAACCATGCAAAAAAAATAGTTGGTTATTATTAATGTTTCTTGCAAATGGTTAACATGCTTGGCTGCTAACCAAATAGTGGCTGAAGTCTACCCAGAGGTGCCTCAGAAGAAAGACCTGGTGATCTACTTCCCAAAAAACCAGCCATTGAAAATGCTGTGGAGCCCAGTTCTACTCTGACACACATGGAATCACCATCAGTAAAAATTGATTCAGCGGCAACTGGTATTATAGGATATAGTTGGAGATTTGTTAAATAAACTGTACTTCATTAAATCTAAGACTCCATTGGTTACAAGACTGCATGCATCATTATATTATGTAGAGAGGGAGGAACTGGGGTGAAGTATAGTAGGGTTTGAGTATTTTTATTATTTCATTTTGGAATGTTTAAATCTTTGATTCTTATTAATATATTTGATGAAGCAGGTAGAGCTAGTTTTCTTTCCAGCCACTTAGCCTCAATACTATTTACTGAGTAACTCATCTTTTCCCTACTGATTTAAAAAAGATTCACTGTAGAATTTCAAAATGTTCCTTCACGACATGTTGTCAAAGAAGAGCAGTTCTCTCATGCAATTTCCTATGACACTTCGTAAATTCAGAGATAATGGAAAAGCTAAAAAGAAAGCAAAACTTTCATTGTCAATAATCTAGGCTCTATTTTCTATGTAAATAAGGTCTTTTGATTTTTCTCTCCATAGGAAAAACTAAATAATAAACAGTTCTATTTAACTTTTTTAATTTTGTGCTAGATTTATTTTACTCTACTGGCATAGTTAACTCTCATTTAGTTGTGCCACTTAAGAGTAATATTGGCCGGAGTAAATTAAATTGGTGTGTAATATGCCCATTTGAGTTAGGACCTTGGAAAACCCAGCAGGAACTTAAACTCAGCAATTGGAGAAAGCGGAGACAGGGTGGCAGGTGGAACTTTTCCAGCAGTGCTCACCGTTTCAGTTCTTATGGCACCCTAGGAAGTTTTTTTGAGCTGCGCTTGTGTGCTGCAAGCACTCTCCTTTTCTACTCTTCTTATTGTGACTTTTTTACATTACTGTTTTAATTCACTGGGAATTCGTGTTCGCCTGTGGTGTAAATCTCTCTCTCTCTGTGTCCCTCTCCAGTCGCTGTTTGGTCGACTCTGGCTCATGGTGACCCGGTGTGTGTCAGAATAGAACTGTGGGCCATAGGGTTTTCAGTGGCTGATTTTTCGAAAGTAGATTACCAGGTCTTTCCTCTGAGGCTCCTCTGGGTGGACTCAGGCCACCAACCTTTCAGTTAGCAGCCGAGCGTGTTGTTTGCACCACCCAGAGTTATTGTAAACATTCATGGTGAGCAGCCCAGATAAGGTTGATTTCCACCCTTAGTGCTAACTGCAGAAGCAAAAGCAAAATCCATAAATCTGTCATTTTAAAAATTAGGTGTATTTTACAGATTTAACACTCTTCAACTTCATAAATATTGGTTTAAAGGGTGAAAGGCAAATAAATACTCCTAGGGTATGGTGTTTCTTCTTTTCTGCTTGAAGACATGTTCGTTTCCCCTCCTTTCCTTTTAATCTTCCTGTTTCCTTGACACACCTATTTCTGAACTCCATTCTCGTCTCTGCTGTGACAGTTCACTAGCACTTCACGGTACCTAAGACTCTTTCAACTCTTATTTTCTACCAACTGTCAGTTACAAAATAAGGAGGCTTTGTTTGGGAGGAAAAGGGTAGAATCCTTTCTGAATATCGCCTTTTCCTTTGAAGCAGGAGCACTTCAGAGACAATTGAACTGCTTTTAGGTTTTTCTTACCAGCCAGCTTTTTCTTCTGATAGATCCTGCCGTGAACACACAGCTCTGTTGATGACATCGATTTGTTGCTATGGAAATAGTGGTAATGTCGTAGATTCAGCCCAGTGACTTTACTGCAGGTTCATGCAGAATAAATGGGCAAGGCTTTAGAGGAGAACCTCATTAAAACTGAAAGCTATCAATTATAAGCAGGTGAAAGGTAAAAGTAATGAAAACAAAAAGTGAACTCCCAGCAAATTCACTGCATGCAGTTGAGAGCCTCAGCATGAATTCGGACCTCTGAGAGTCTTTGACAAAATCAAAATTTTACACTTTCTCAGAATATTTCTTCTAAGTTTACATCCTTCACCCTAAATGATTTGCACTAAAATGGCTTTTCCCTTTTGATCTTCAGGCCACGGGCAGCAGCAGGTAGTCCCTACTCCAGCCTCAGCAGCCAGTCCACCAACCAGCAAACCCCAGCAACAGAATGGGAGTTCAGGAATGGGTAAGATTGCCATGTGAGGACATGTGTTCATTCTGTGTGTCAGGCTTTTGAATAATGTTTCGAAATTTAATCTGGGACTAAAGGGAGTTTTCAAAATACCATTCATGACAGAATTGCTTCTTGCAAAGAATAATTCAGGTTTTTATTTAAAGTATGTGATTGAAAAAACAATTAAACATAGTCTTTTAAAGATATTTAACAATATGCCTTTTTTATGGGAATGGTATACTCTTCTCTGTTAATAGTTTATCTTAACAGTTTCTCACTTCTTTAGGTTTTACGCCCTCTGACTATCTGAATTTGCATACCTTTTAAATTCTTGCCTTTTAACTATCTAGGATCTGCTTACTAAATTTGTCTTGTCTCTCTTTAAGTTTCCTGTTTGGGTTCTCTTGGATATTTATCATTTGTGAAGGCGGTATCATTTCTATTGGTCATAGGCTCTGCTTCTCAGTTCATGGATGAGAGATAGTTTCTTCTTTTAACTTCTGTGCAGCAGGTCCTGCGAAGCTCTGATGGAATCATTGTGTTCACTCTCTGGCCTTTGCTTTAGGAATCTCTTGATGTGAGAAGTCACCGATGAAAGTTATGATGGTAGAATTGCTTGGGTTTATTTCTAGAGGTCCTTTTTTCTGCTGCAGCTTCGCATGCATTTCCTCTTTTACTCTCAAGTATTGGTTTCTATTTTTCAATGCTAAGATTCTAAGAAAAGCAAGATAAAGACATCACTAATGTTCTGTGAAACCTTTAGGACGTATGACTTTTTCCCTGTTAGTCAGTAGATTTAGCTAGTTAGCTAGTTTATACACAGATCTCCAATTATGTGCTGTTGAGGGGGGGATGGATTATCTAAGATAAATGGTAAATAATCCAAAAGTCACTTCCTTAAAGCTGCAATACAAATAGTGTGTTATTCTTTCCTCTCCCTCCACAGATTTACTTTTACGATTGTCTATCTTTGACTTAGATTGAAATTCATTTTTTAAAAAATTAGTTAATGTTTCCTAAACACACATCAACTGGGTGGTGAAAGAAAAAGGACTGGGTGTGTATTGACGAGAAGCTGCCTGGCATGAGAAATGGGATGAATAGATGTGTGTATGTGTTTGTGTAATTGTATATTGCATGTATGTATATACACTACACATATATATTCTACAAAGTACATGAGCTTCAGTGCATACTCTTGAGGTAATCACTGCTGTTGTGTGTGTGTTGGTCTCTCTTGACTCCCCAGTTAGAGTACAGAATGTTAGGATCTGAGACAGTGTGTATATTTTTTACAAAGTGCTGCGAATACCTACAGTAGTGTTCTACATGCTGTGGAAACTCAGTAAGTAAATGCTGAATAAATGGTAGATTTACATCTTTAACTAAATTCTGAAGAAATAATGTTTATATAAAAGGTATGAAATCATTGAACTAAATTATATTTTCTTAATTTGGAGATTGAAGCTTTACAGAAATAATGCGTGTATAAAGAAATTTATCTGCTAATAGGCTCTAATTCCCTGTTCTTTCCAAGTGAAGGGTAGCTGCTTAGGCTCAGATGAAACAGGCAGAAGGGGTCACAGTGGCCACCTACGTACATGTTTTGAACCAAAAACTGGTTTTTGCCCTTTGTTCCCTATTAACCCCAATCCCATAGACTTCATTCTACGTTTTTTAGTCCTGTAGGCCAGTTGAGTACTGAGGTCTTTCTGGGATGTTTTGAAATGATTTGTGATAGGTGTCCTTCACCTCAAATGTCCTTCACCTCTATCCAAGTATGTTCCGTTATATCCTAGCCTTCCCTTTGGCTTTTTTTATTATGCACCTAATGACTTGCCATCAGTTTTACAGTCAAGAAGGTTGGTTTTCTTTCTCTGATCCATTATCTTGCCCATTGATTAAGTGAAAAGTTTAAGAGAATGGACTTCAGAAAGTGCAGTGTCTGAATCACTACCATTATCCTGACCTCGGGGCTTAAGTCAGGAAAGGTAATAGTGGACCTCTGTGTGCCCAGCATTGATTCTGGATTGTTTTTCTAGGCTCCTGCTTCAATCTACATGACCCTCATATCCCTTGGATAGTAAAAAAGAAAAACTTTGCCTCTCATTTTATACAGTTTCATCAGTGGCACCTCAGTAATCAAGAGTTTCTGCAGAAGTTATTATAAAAGCTATGTAGAATAATGGATTGTCCTTTCCATTTATTTTAAAGGTTCCACTGTATCTAAGGCTTTTGGTGCCCCAAAGACATTTGGAAAAGCTGGAGGCACCAGCCTGGTGAACACTGCTGGGGGAACACAGTCCAAAGTGGTACCCATTGCCAGCCTCACCCCTTACCAGTCCAAGTGAGTTGTGTCATTAGAATAAGTTCACAGTGTACTTACAGATTGTATAAAAAGTTGTTATGGGTGGGCTTTTGAGTTTTTTATGCATGAATGTCAGTGTCACCACCACATAAGGTGGGTCTCTTTTTTTCTGAGAAGGAAAAGGGTACAAATTTTGGCAACCTTTAACTCTCTTATCAAAAGGAATGGCAGAATAGCAAAAAGAAAGTTTCATTTTATTTGTTTTTTTGGTGAAAAGATACACAATAAAACGTACACTCATTCAGCAATTTCTCCATGTGCAGTTCAGTGCCATTGGTGACATTCTTCACATTGTGTAACCATTTTCACTGTCTCTACCCATATTGTCTTGCCACCATTAACTTTTAACTTTTTATGCCTCTTAAAGTTCTTACCTGTGCTTTAGAGTTACTGTTAACCAATTTAATCACATTTAGACAATTCTTTAACAGATCACAATGTTCAGGGCTGACATTGTTTATTAATTGAGCTAAACTGTTGTTTTGTTTATAGATGACTTCCTGGGATAGTTTCAGTTCAGAGTTTAAAGATTATTTCAGGACAATAAACTTAGGGGTTCCCCCAGTCTTAATGGATTTCCATAAGAATTTGCTGTTCTGTTCCATATTTTCTTCCTTTTGGTCAGAATCCATCCATTGGGTCCTTGATCAAAACATTCAGTAATGGTAGCCGGGCACCAACAATTTTTTCTGGTCTCATAGTAAAGGAAGTAGTAGTTAGTATGTAGGAAATTAGACCTGCAGTCCATTTCTTTGTCCAATTCCTGAATCTCCTTTTTTTCTACTGTTCCAGGCAATTAGAGACCAGTTGTACCTTAGGTGGCCACTGGCAAGCTGTTAAGACACCAGGTGCTACTCACCAAATTAGGAGGTAGAACAGAAACTCTAAAAACGTTAGGTCAGTTGAGTGGATGGCATGAAGCCATGACCCTAAACCTACAAACCGAGAAATCGAATCCCATGAAGTATTTAGCTGTACCTAAGTAGTATCTACAAGTGCAACCTTCCCTCCTCCACCTATTTTTGGCTGCTGTTGTTTTTATTCATTTTTAAAGAATTTGAAATTAAAGATATTTAATGCTTGAAGAATCAGTTGACAGTCTTGTGAGATTTAAAAATAAGTATTTGTGCTAATTTAGAAGGTGTTTCATCTCATATAAATAGGCGACTTGGTCTGAAGATTGTTACTGTGAGTTAGTTGGCTAGAAGAATCTGTACTGTTTGTATTAGCTACATTAATATGTCCTGAGCGTGTATTTCTTTTATGACTTTTTCCATTACAAATTAATTTGAGCAGTTAACAATTAGTGTTTTTTTTTTTTCCAAAATCTTTTCAGATGTGTTTTTATGTGTTCTTCAGTACTTTTTAAGGTAGGGAAGCTTTTTTCCCCCCAGTGAAATTATAAATAAGGTAACTAAATTACCTGGCACCTGCATTCAGGATCCAGGACTAGATCTCGGATCTTGTGCCCCCTTTTTCAGTAGCCTCTAGTTCCTGCTGCTTTTGAGTATTTTCCTTTGGTGACTCACCAACACCACGTTCCATGACCTTGTATTTATATTCAGTGTGTATTAGAAATAAGACACAAGTTTGACACCAGTTATATCACTTCTTAAAATTGAAAATAGTGGCAAAATATAATTGCTGGTATTACTGCGTTTTCTAGCTTAGAACTTTTCATCAAGGGATATTGCTGCCTTGGTGATGCTTGTTGGAAAAGGGAGTTTATAAATTCACTTACTTGACAGGAGAATGAGTTAGTGTTAAATCACCTTGTATGTTTTACTATTTGCTAATTCTATAAACTGTCAAACCTGTGTGTCATGTTGGGGTTTCAATTAGCTGGATTAAAATACAGCTAACATTGAAAAATGGAATATGCATAAGATAAGAAAGGCCACAGGAAGATGAGGGAAACCTTTCAGATCTTTCCCAAGTAAGATTTCAAACATAATACACCGTTTGGTTTTTAGGTGGACGATTTGTGCTCGTGTTACCAACAAAAGTCAGATCCGTACCTGGAGCAATTCTCGAGGGGAAGGAAAGCTTTTCTCTATAGAACTGGTTGATGAAAGTGTGAGTATTTGTCCAGTGGGGAAAGAGGAGTGCTGGACTCTGAAAAACAGAGGATTCATCTCTGTGCAGCCCTATCAGGTGCAAAATAATAGTAGGTCAAAGAGAAACCTGATTGTCATCATCGTTCTTCCCTCTGGTATAGTCTTTTGATGCTGTCTGGGAGCAGAGGGTTAACGGTCATAAGTAAAATCCTTGACCTTAAATAAAAGCATTTATTGAAGTAGAAATTAGTTTTCTAAATTTGTAAGTAGCACATGGGCAGAAGGAACTAGAGACACTATGTCTGACTTGGCTGGCAGGCTTGGTTGAGGCCCTAGACTATGAGACCTGCTTATGAGCGGAGTGGAGCTCTGGGCCACAGCAGAAGGCAGGCAGCAGCCACCTGGCTAAATGAATGGCTTTGTGGGAAATGGATTCTGACTGTGCAGACTCTTTATATGCTTTATTTAAACACAAACAATGATCATGGGACCAAAACATTTCCAAGCTGTGGAGTCTTGATAGCTGTGTATCTGTCCATTAGTTTCATTTATAAGTCCTAAAATATACTTCAAGCCTCCTTTTCAAAGTGCTGCATATTTCCTAGTTTTTCAAACCCCAAGAGGGCTTTGTTTTAAGAGGGCAGATAAGAGACAATTTCTTTCTTTCCTTTTTTTTTGAAGATGAAATAACACCCCAACTGTACCAGCTGTGTGATGGCAGAAGCAATATCAGAACCTATTTTTTTACCATATCCTTGGTCTGATGTGCATCAGTTGGGTAAAATTTTAGCTGTTTATTTAAGTTTCTTATCCATCCGTAGCATTTTGACTGACAGAAAAGTAAAGTGAAAATCAAACCGCAAGCGACTTGAAAACATGACTGGTTATAACATTTTTGGCAATGACCCCTGAATGTGAGGTAATTCCTCACTTCTCACGCAGGGACTGGTAGATCAGCATGTCTGGCCTGCTTCCCTGGGAGCTTCAGTCATGCCACTCAGTAGTCAAAAGTTTTTGTTTTTGTTGTCAATATTAAGCTCACTGCTGGATTTTTTTTTTTTTGAAGTTTCTAACTGAGGTTGATAAAGCATGATTACGGGATTAGCTAGTTGGATCTCTACTTTTTCATTAGGGCTAATAGCTTGAATGATTGAAGACTATAAAATGTGGGCTTCTGGCGTGTGTGTAGGCCTCTCATAGATCCCATTTATGGTTGTGCCACTGCTCTGAAGATGCGATTTTGATAGTAAAGTGTCCAATTCTTCACTGGTAAAACTTGGTGGTGAACACAATTCTAACCTGCCCTCACATGTTTCTGCAGGGTGAAATCCGAGCTACTGCTTTCAACGAGCAAGTGGACAAGTTCTTTCCCCTTATTGAGGTGAACAAGGTACGATGGTGCTGATTTTTGGAACTGAAACCGTCAGTTGAATGGTGGCATGAGGATGAGGGGACTCTTGTCCAGTGAGAGTTGTGTGGTGGTGAAGGTTTTTATGTCTGACTGGACAGATGTTCCATGGCTTGGCCTCTCTTGCAGGTCTATTATTTCTCGAAAGGCACCCTGAAGATTGCTAACAAACAATTCACAGCTGTTAAAAATGACTATGAGATGACCTTCAATAATGAGACTTCTGTGATACCCTGTGAAGATGGTCATCATTTACCTACAGTTCAGTTTGATTTCACAGGGATTGATGACCTAGAGAACAAGTCCAAAGACTCACTTGTAGGTAAGTCCACATATGGGAACAAAGAGAGTGGTGATTATTAGTTTTATTTGCAGTATATCGGGAAGGTGTAACACTTAAGTGCTTGCCATTCAGCCTTTGTCATATGATAACGGAAGCCTTGACCATCTCTTGCTAAAACGTTGTGCCTATGTTTTAGACATAATTGGGATCTGCAAGAGCTATGAAGATGCCACAAAAATTATAGTGAAGTCTAACAACAGAGAAGTTTCTAAGAGAAATATCTATTTGATGGACATGTCAGGGAAGGTGGTGTCTGCTACTCTGTGGGGAGAAGATGTAAGTACTTGCTTGCATTGAGCAGTCAGTGCATGTACAGAAAGGCAGAGACATAACGAGCTCCTCAGGTGGGTTGTCTCATCCTGTGAGTTGTGGGGCTTTGACCACTAAGGGTGAAGGGCTGGGCTGTCTGGGGTATATTTGAAATTCTTGATTTGATTCACTTCTGTGAGATTTCCTATGATTTAAAGCTTTACATAGTGAAATTCTCTTTAACTCTAGGAAAATAGTGATAGATGAGTTTTTTTATTTATCTCTGAGCAGATTCTTGTGTGTGAGGTCTACCTTGTATAGATTCCATGTTACCATTTATTGCATTCACTCTACTGTTGACATTTTCCTTGTTTCCTATAAAAATGTTCCTTGTGTTCTTCCTCAGCTATGCCTACCAGTGACACTTGTTTGTGTGTGTTCGGTGTTTTTGTTCTTATGCAGGCTGATAAATTTGATGGTACTAGACAGCCAGTGATGGCTATCAAAGGAGCCAGAGTTTCTGATTTTGGTGGACGGAGCCTTTCTGTACTGTCTTCAAGCACCATCATTGTGAATCCTGATATCCCAGAGGCCTATAAGCTTCGTGGATGGTAGGTTTTATGGGGCTAAACAAAGGGGTTATTTGAGCCTGGGCTTTGAGACAAGCTGGTTCTTTTGGTTCTTACGATCAGTATTTGAGCTCTCTGCTGAGCAGAGGGCTTCGTTACTGAATGGAACAGTTTTTGCATTTCTTGGGGGGCATTATACCTTCTGAGAGGATGGCTTTAGATCCCTTAAAACAACAAACCTGTAATCCCTTGAGAAACCTAAAGAGTCGGAGGAGGCAATTAGAATGGAAGTGATGCGTGTTGACCTGGATCCTGCCAAAGCAGGGTGCGGCCAGACTGTATAGCAGCTCTAATCTGCGGGGCTCTGAGCTGAGAGCATCTTTCTCTCCTCACTTAACGGCTGTGGGCTTCTGTGGTGTGAGAGGAGAAAGTGGTTTCTTACTCTGTCGAGTCATTGGTTGCCATCACATCTTCTAGTGTGTATTCATTGGGCTCTTTGATAAAGTCTGGTGGGAACAATGGGCTTTTGTTGGCATTATATTGTTATTCCCAAAGCACTCAAGGGATGAGGACAGCCTGTTAAAATCTCCTTAATATATCTAGCTTTTTAGGGCATTAAAACTCTGCCTTAAAACAGCATTTCAAACTGAAACACAGTATGCAAGAATTGATGTGGTCACAAAAAACACTTTAACTAGCTTGAGCTTGAATAATTTGTATAGCTATAATCACAAGGGGAAATGAGTCAGTTTCAAACCATGTCTTAGGGTTTAAGTGACTAAGGAATTCGCTCATATTACATACTCCCCACTTTTGTTTCGAGTCTAATGTGAACCAGTAGCAATAGAGTTTTAATGGTTTCAGGGAACATTTACTGGAGTTCATGTCACGTAAGCCAGCCTCATGAGTGTGGTCCACAGATATGTATTTAACTATCTCTATAGCTGGTATTGCCTTACAAAGCTGGGACCGTTAATAGTCTGACCAGAAATGACCATGGCTTTGGTTTGTCCTTATTGCTTGATTTTCTTCCAGGCTCTGGAGCTTGACCCCAGGTTAATTGATGCCCACATTAAGGTCTTCATATTTCACTTGTCAATAACCATGATCCCCGTCACCTTCAAAAGACATTCTTGTCCCTAGAATAAAATAACTTGGCATTGATCAAAGAGAAGTTCGGTGCACATACTCCACCTAGGCAAGGATTTGAGATGTTTAGATCTGGGCTATAACGATGTGGAGTTTTTATTGTAAGAAGGGCTGCCTCTCTCCTTGCTCTGTTGACTCCTGATGAGCTGTCTTTGGTCGCAAATGTCTCCTTGGAGTTTTTGAAACCGTAAACTTGTGTAGCTAGTAGTGGAGAAACAGATTTATGGAGCGTGCTGTGCCTTTGTGACAGATTTCGCCGCTTACCTGAAAGAATGAGAAGGCAATTGTCTGCAGCACAGGGCAGCATCCATTCTGCCAGATGGTCTCTTTCTAAGGAGGCTGTTCTGGATATGGTTAGCTTTCAGTTATCCACCTTTGGGATGACATTTGGCATATTTTTAATCTCAGGCTACCTCCTCCCTGCCACAAATTTGTTTCTGAGCCACCTTCTCCCTGCGCCCCCCCCCCCCGCCCCGTTCCTTCATGTCACTTGTTAAGTGGTCAAGAAATGCAATCAATTTTGACAATAATTTAATAGAAATTTAACTTTAATATCGGCATAAGTAAAACCTCTCTAAGAAGGTAAATCCACAACAAGAAAATAGATCATGCCTTCTAGTAAATTACTTTGGGTTATGTAATCTTTTGGAGTCCATATCAGGCTTAAAAGATCTTTCACCATGGAAACATTTTTGCTAACCTATTACAATTGATAACTTTCCTTTCTGTACGGATACATTTCAGTGATGATAAAAATGCTGCTGCTGACCGAGAATGAGCATCAATAACCCAAAGGATATACCGGAGCTCTGCATTATTGCTGTTTTGTTGTTGATGTTCCCAGTTACTGCTTTTAGGCCTTGGGCCCTCCGGCCAGTGTTGCTGTGCAAGGCTAATTTAAGAAAAGGTTCTGTGGTGCTTTGGCACTGTCTGTCTTGGCCACTGGGGGGCATCAAAACAATTGAGATAAAAAGCGTCATTCATTTGCTTCAGTAGACTCGAGATATAATTAGGAAGACACTAACTTCAGCCCGAATGACTGTGACCTATAAAAAGTGGGGGAGGGAGGGTGGGGAGCCTGTATGGGGCACATAGGAACTAGTAGCACATTAGAGAAGGGTATCAAGTACCTGTCCCTATTCTTTGTTTGTGTTTCAGGTTTGACTCAGAAGGACAAGCCTTAGATGGTGTTTCCATCTCTGACCTAAAGAGTGGAGGAATAGGAGGGAGTAACACCAACTGGAAAACTTTGTATGAGGTCAAATCAGAGAACCTGGGTCAGGGTGACAAGGTAGCCTGCCTTCCTAACTTGCTTCATAAAAGCACATGTAGTATGCAAGAGGATGAGTTTTAAAATCTGATTTCTGAGACCAACGGTCAGACATGAGTTCAGAGCTATGGTTTGTATCTGGGGCTCTGACCGGAGCATGGCGTGGTGGTTGAGAATCACTGCCAGAGCCACGAGGCTGCACTTACCGATAGGAGTATGTTGTATCCCTCACGTGTGTTGGGGCAGAAGACGTTAAGAACCCTGACTGTATAGGGTTGTTGAATTCTTAGAGACAATAATAACAAAGCTGTTAATGATAATATGACTTGCCTTTTTTTGTGATTGTTCTTGCAAACTGAAGTGCCCACATGTCAAGAAGATGTTTTTTCAGGTTACAGCTCACAAGTATTAAGCACCAGGTTCAGTGTCAGGCATTGGTAGTTCACATGTCCTTTAACTGGCTGTAGAACATGAACCTCTCATGTGCTGAGAGTTGCCAGGATCCTCTGACGGGTTGACTGTAGTATTTGACTCCAGCTGCAGCTGCCCTTTGATGTTACCCTCCTCCCGTCTGGACTGAAACGTATTCTGTTAGTAGTTCAGTATTTAAATCATTTGTATCTCCTTTGTCTTCCCAAATAACAGCAACCTCTGTTTTTTTTCTTTTTGTGATATACAATATAATTTTTATTCCTTACTGTCACACTTCACTGTGTTTCCTTATCCATCATTGTCATCAGCAGCAGCTTCCAACACTATTATATATAACATCTTGAGAATCAAACGTTGGACAGATCTGTGTTGTCCTATCATAGAAACAACCACTCTTGTAGTTCTCTTGCCCCCGTTTCTTTCTTAGATCTATGGGTAGACTGTGTATAATAAATCAAGCATAGGGAATACCTATCTGCATCCAGACTTTCAAGTTACACTTTGAGTCTGGACCTAACCTGGAAATACAGAAAGATGGTTTAGACAGTCTCTTAGGAGTCTTATTTTCTCTAGAGCCTTCTAAACTGGGACTAGCCCAAGCTCTTTAAACGTCCACGTTATGATTTTGCCTCTTTGGCCTGAGACAGCCCTAGAGGTTGCTGACCTGGCTCTGAATTCAGGGTACACCCAGAGGGAACTGCTTCCTGGCAGTACTAAATGTACCCAAAAGAATTACTCATTTCCATTCCTCTCTATGGGGGTTAAAAAACAAAACAAATACAACAAAAACCTAAGCACATGACATAATCCTTGCTAGATTTACCCGTCAGTGATTTCTTAATTTCGAAAGCACAGATGTTAGCTACAATTATTTTTGCCTTCTGCTGAATTTGACCTCCTAGACCAGGGATTGGCAAACCAACCCAGGGGCCAAATCTGGCCTGCCACTTATTTTTTTGTTTTGTTGTTTATTATGGTAAAACATACAAAACAAAAACTTTGCCGTGTCAACTATTTTTAAATGTACGATTCAGTGACCTTAATTACACGGTCACTGTGTTATGCAACGATCACCACCGTTGGTTTGCCAAGTTTTTCCTTAGCCGTAACAAGAACTCAGTTCCCCTTAAGCACTAACTTTCCCTTTTCCCCCTGCCGCCTGTTTTTGTAAACAGTTTTATTGGAACACAGCCAAACACATTCATTTACATGTTGCCTAAGGCTGCTCTTGTACCACAGCAGCAGAGCTGAGTAGCTGCAGCAGAGACAGTATGACCATGTAGCCCGTAAAGCTAAAGTCTTTATTCTCTAGCTTTTTACAGAAAAGGTTTGTTGACCCCGCCCTGAACAAAGATAAAAGCGAATCTCAAGCCCAAGAATTCACTGCCGTCGTTTTCAAAATTTGTGGAAGGAATGGTTGATTGTAGCTTTGCTAGAGTTTTGTGGTCTGCACACTATGTATTGCATAGATCTGTTACCTTGGATGGGTTAGAGGAACAAGCAAAGAAGAGAAAAGATTTCCATTTTAAACTAATTTAGAGTGAACTCTTCTACTCTTCTATAGCTAAGGAATTATATGTTTTAGAACTTGGTTGATTTTACCTTGATGGGTTTTGTAGTTATTTCTGAAACTACAGAGTGAACTACCGATTTGTGATTTTGAGAATTAAAATATAGAAGCACTTCAACTTATGTGTAAGGGCCAGCTTTGAGCTGCCACTAAGTTCAGTCCTAAATAGAGGTTTGATGCTCTGGGTCTCACGTCACTCTTCCCTCCTGAAGGCGGACTATTTCAGCTGTGTGGCGACAGTGGTGTATCTTCGCAAGGAGAACTGCATGTACCAGGCCTGCCCAACTCAGGACTGCAATAAGAAAGTGATTGATCAACAGAATGGATTATACCGCTGTGAGAAGTGTGACAGAGAATTTCCCAATTTCAAGTACCGCATGATCCTGTCAGTAAGTAGAATGGGTAAATGAGAGTCACTGGGATTGTTTTTCAAGTCCCTGCCATGTGCCAGGCACCCTGGGTACAGCAGCAAAAACAAGATACAGTCATGCGCCACATAACATCTGTTTGGGGAACATCGACTGCATATATATCCGTGGTCCCATAAGATTATAATATATAGAGTTCAGAAATCCCGATCGGAGAACGGGATGTATCAAACATAACAGCTTCCCACATGAAACACGTGTCTCTCATGTCTCTTGTATACAAAGCGATTGCACTGCCAGGTGTATAATGGTACAAAAAAACCCAAACTCTTTGCCATCGAGTCAATTCTGACTTGTAGTGACCCTATGGGACAGAGTAGAACTGCCCTATAGGGTTTCCAAGGAGCATCTGGTGGATTCAGACTGCTGACCTTTTGGTTAGCAGCTGAGCTCTTAACTTCTGCACCACCAGGGCTCCATCCAATGGTACAGCACATATATAAGCTATAATACACGTGTCTTGATAATCATAATAAACGCCTGTGTTAGTGGCTTATGGATGTATTGTACTGTACTTTCTATCGTTATTTTAATGTGAACTTCCCCTACTTACGCATGAAAGGTTTACCATATAACAGTGTATGCTTCGACTCATAGGCAGCAGCATCCGATCTCATGTAGTGTGCGTCTCTTGAAGGTTGTAGCATTATCTCTCTTTAATTTTCTTTTGAAAAATGTTACTGTGAAGTGCATCATGGCTCCCAAACACAACCAAACCAGCGCTAGTGATAGCAGCAGCAAGAGGCAAAGGAGAAGTATCGATTTGGAAGTGACACAAAGGTTCTTAACACAAAGTGGAAAATCTGTGAATGCTATTGTTCACGATTTAGGCGTGTTCGCACAATGTCCCAATCACATAACGCCCTATTTTGCAGAAACGTTAAGCAGTGCATGACTGTGTATAATACGGTGTTCACACAACGTCCAAATCACAGAACGTCCTGTTTCATGGTAGGAAGCCTGCAGTAAGTGCTAAAGAGCTTATCATTGTTTCATAAAATAGGAAGCATGGGGCCTTTCACTCAACTGAATAGCAGTCTGTTTTCTCCTTCTAAAAGCTTTTTTTCATGCCAAAAAGTTGCATTTAGGTACCCCAGCTGATCCCAGTCTGCCGTGCGTGTGGCAGGTAACAACTTTGGTGGCACTTGCTGGCTAACCATTACAAAGAAAAGTAATTTGAAATGGCATTTTTGGAGCACAATAATGGTACTTACACAGCCGTGCCTGTATTTAGTTATTTTCCTTGTGGATAATCTGTTCCTCAAGCCTTAGTAGAGCTGACTTCAGAGGCTTGTGACTGTGTGCTCACGGGGGGCTGTGGCTTTTTGGCATTGTAAGAATTGTTTCTTTCCGTTTTAAAAACCTTTAAAATGAAGGGTGTAAGGTTTTTTTTTTGTTTGTTTTTTTTAAGTGATAATACTAAATGGTAGTGAAGTTACAGGAAGATGGGCACTCACATTTTTCTAGAAGGTAATTTGGCAGTAATAAGTCAGAAGCCATAAAAATGTTTATATTTTTGATACAGTAAACACCTGAAGGGAATTTATTCTAAGGAAATAATCAGAGATGTTACATATGTATAAAGTTGTTTATTACACTGTTTATTTTGGAAAAAAACAGATACAGCTTAAATATCCTTGATATTCTATTGGTTAATTCCTTTATTAAATATCCATAGAGTGGAATACCATGAAAGCATTAGAATTTGCTTTTTATTTGACAGAAGTTCCACAATTAAGACGTTTGTAAATGATTGTTAATGAAGACTATGAAATGACAAGTACTCAGGCTATATTAATTGAAAATAGCAAATGTACACCCACATAGAAAACAGACTGAGAGGACAAATACCAGTAGTGGTTATTTCTGGTTGATTTTTATTGTCTTCTATATATTTCTCTGCATCGTCTTTCCTTTTCTTTTTCTTTGCAACGAATACTCTTGTAATCGGAAATTTTTAAGAAAATATTCCATCTATTCATTCTGCATTCTAAATGCCCTTTAAACTGTTAGTTCAGCAGGAAAGTTCTATTTAAGCATCATATTTTTTATGAACTTTTCATTGAACTAAGATGAAGAATATTGTTTTAGACAGTTTATCCCGTTCGTGACCCGTGGTACATATAGCGACCACATACTTTTTTGGCCTCTGGGGTTTATTGGGAAGATACTGTCCCATAGACAGTTACGTGCAGCATGCAGGCGGAGACCTGTGTAACAGTTTGAAATGGAAAAAATGGGCATGTGTTGCAAATTCCTGTTTTTACAGGACATTGTATGAGGTGGTGTTGAGTCAGTGTTTTTGGTAGGAAAAATAGGGATTCTGATAAAAATTATTTGGGACACTTATGTCCCTCTGCATTTGTGGGTAAAATTTAGGGAACACATATGTCCCTCTGGACTCTGAGGGTAGGATTGGTGAGGCGAGGTAAGAAAAAAATCCATAGTACCTGCCAAAAATTCACACTCAGTGATTCAGTATGCATTCCATTAGTGAAAACGCGTGGTATCAACAAAAAATTCAAAGCAGAAAATAATTGGGTCTTGAAAACTTATTCCATCAGCTTCTGTTAAACTTCTAAATGGTGGAATTCCCTGCGCGCTTGTTTCACATGACATGTATCCACCAGCACGTCTGTGTCGCAGCTGCTCTTGCCCTGTAGAGTGTGACACTCTTTTCCTCTTAGGAGGATAGCATGGGGTACACGGTAGGTGTGAATCCTAGTAATGATGTCATTACCTTATATTTGTGGGTGCTTTTAACTTTTCCCCCATCACTTTATATTTCATCATAGCATTTGATGTTAAAAGCCCCATGTACATGCAAAATGAATATGTAAAATCAAAACAATAACCTAAAAGAAACCCATTTGCTTTCTTTTTTTCTACAAAGTCTTTTACTTTAGCAACTGGGTTCTTTGATATTCACTTTGCTCCTTGACTCTCCCCTGTTTAATTGTACACCACGGTCTAATTTGGAGACACTTTGTTACTCATTCAGTTGCTAGTAAATTTGGTGTCTGGATAAAGGCCTCTGACTCAAGCTCTTAAACTGTCTGGGTTGCTCAGCAGTGACTTAGCCCCATCTCATGGAGCTCCTCCTAGTGACTGAAGAATGTACAGTTTAAAATTCAGAGAACCTGCCCTGACTCATTGGAGGGTTGTTCAAAACCTTAGTCCAAAAAGCCCAAAGCACATTGCAGCTAGAGGGGAACTAAGTCCTGTGTGCCTGTATTCTGCGTCTGAAGGAGAGTGTAGTTGGGCTGTACCCCCACCAAGATCTGAAATCACACATCCAGGGCATATTGTGTTCCTGCTGTGATCCAGACTTACACTTTAAACTTTTTCTAGGATACCTCTCACATCCTTTGCAAAGAACATGGTATATCTAGTGGTATTGTGTTTTTCTTTGGGAATAATTGATGAGTGGAAAGAGTTCATCTCAGTCTCCTGAGCATGCTTTCCTTTTATTGTGTCTTTGCTGTGATAACACAGAGTTGTGTTTTTTAGGCAAATATTGCAGATTTTCTAGAGAATCAGTGGGTCACTTGTTTCCAGGAGTCTGCAGAGGCCATCCTCGGACAAAGCACTGCTTACCTTGGAGAATTAAAAGAGAAGGTTGGCCACGTTTTATTATAACTATAATAGCTCCCATGCTATAACACTGGTCCCTTTTTGCTTTTTCTTATTTTTTGGTTCATTTCTTTTGTGTGTTGTATGTAGTTTCTCAGTCTGATGATATTTGAGAGCTCATCTGATTCTGTCTAATTTTATCCATTTTGGATACAGTAACAATGAGGTAATGAAGTAATGAGCTAATGAGGTAATATACATAAAAGTACTTCAAAAATAAAGCACTTTAAAGTATGAACCACTTATTTCTCTTGGTACTATGAGCACACCACAGTTGGTGTGCCTGTAATCGCTTGAGACCGGGAAGGCGTCTTCTGAAATAACTTCAAGTACAAGTATGCCGTGGTAACATAATAAACAAAGCCTTTCTGAAAAGTTGAGTCAAATCCTGGTTTAAATGCACATATAAAGTACTTGCTATTTCAGTTAGTCAGATGCAGTTCTTACGAAGTGACTTTCTTTTTATCAAATGATTTAATCCATTTCATGTTTGTCAATTTGCATTTCACGTATTAGGTTTGCTTAATGCAGGGAATATACTGAGTATGCTACACTTAGGAAAGATAGTCGCTCAGATAAAATACGTAAAGAGACCAGTATAAGCAGTATTTTCTTTTTTTAGGAATTTATTTTATTTTGTTGCTGTTGAGTAAGCAATATTTTCTGAGCCACATAAATTAACTTCTGCCTGTAAATTCCCCCCACCCCCCCACCCCCCATCCCCAGTTTCCTGCAGATTTGCTAGAATACCTGTAAAGACCACTAAGGAAAAAGGATTTGGCATATGTTTTGGTGTGTTTTTCTTATTCCCTCCTGCCCTCAGTTCTGTCCGTTGGGCTCTTTCCCCGCCTCTTTTATAAATCATCCATGAGATTTCTGAAGAGTCCCAACATGCCCTTTTACAAAAATAACTGGATGGTAGTTTTGGTTATCATAAAAAAAAGTATGATGATATCTTTTGTCTATTTTGCCAGGTCCTCTATTTTCATATCACATTTTAAGGCTCGAGGCAGCCTTTCAGGATTTTTTTATTAGCTTATTATATTTGACTGTTTTTACTGCTGGTAAATGAGGGCATATAGAAACTCTTCCCTCAGGAACCATGACGTTCTTGGAGTATGTGCTCCACGCTTCCCTAATCTTAGAGGAAGAACAGCGGCTGGTGTAGTTTTCTGAAGGTTTAACATGTTGTTTTATTTACACATCTGAAAGTCCAGAGGACTTCTCTTTTTTTTTGTAAAGTAACCTTTACAAAAAAGAGATCTATGTAACAAAGCTTTTTTCATGTTCCATATGGCTTACAAAGATAATACTTAACTGATAGGAACCGTCAATTTTATATAATGTGATAAGTTTATTTTATATAAATTTATATAAAATGCTTTCTTTAATCCCTCCATATCAGGCTTTTTCAAAAAATAAAATAGTATTTGAGGGGCAGGTGAAAGAGGGAGGGGCTGTTTTTTAGACCATTCATAACCTTTGCCTACCTCACCTATCTTCTCCAGACCTATAGCTGGGAATACAGAGGCTGAGGGAAAGAACGTGTATGACAACTTGAGCTCTTTTCTGAGTATTTTTTTTCCCCCAATTTGTAAGTTCATGATGATGATGCTGGGCCTCAGGTCTGTTCCGTCTCAAGCTTTTGAATCCTAGAAATGCATTTCTCTAGAATGTTTTAATTTTTAATAAAATCGTACTTAAACAGTTATATATAATGAAATGACACCTATAGGTTAGTCATTCCTAATGAATTTCAAACCACTGGGGGTGATGATTTCTTCAAGGAAAGATTTTTCTCAAACTGTCTTCAAAAGTCTTATAGATATTTTCAGATGGGCCAGTAGTTGCCATGTCTAAAATTTTTTAAATTTGTTTTTCCAGAATGAACAGGCATTTGAGGAGGCTTTTCAGAATGCCAGCTTTCGATCTTTTACATTCAGGATCAGGGTCAAACTAGAGACCTACAATGTAAGTAAAGTCACCCGGGGTGTAGTAAGCAGTGGGAAGTTGTTCTTTGTCACCTGCCAACAATATGGCAATAGTGATAGCTGTCAGTTAGTTGCTTTTATGTGCCAGACTCGGTCCCAAACACCTTGTGTTCATTACTCAGTGAATCTTCCAACACGGAAGTACTATTATTTCCCCGTTTTTAGTTGAGAAAACAGACTTAGAGAGGTGAAGTATCTTGTCTGCTGTCAAACATCTAAGAAAAAAAAAATGCTATATAGCCTTTTTAATTAAAACTTTTTTTTTTTTAATTTGTCTGTGTTCTGACAAAAATTGATAATATGTCTAGTGGACTTATATCTTCTACAAAGTTTAGGTTCTAAAATCAACATATAAAGCAAAGACCATGTGTAGCTAAGACCTTGAAAACTCCTAAAATTGCCTGTGAAGCAGAGTCATAATAAAGCAGCATTTATTGAGCACTTGCTGTCTGTCAGACACTGTCGTAAGCTCTTTACACACATTATCTCACTTGATCTTGACAGGAACCCTATGTATAAGAATTTGTTATCTCCATTTTACCAGTGAAAAGACATAGACATGCAGAGAATAAGTAACTTGTCTAAAGCAAGGGGCAGAAATAAGATTCCAACCCAGGCAGTCCCACCTCAGAGCTTTGCTCTTAACCAAGCTTATAAGTATCACCGTATATACACCGAGGGCGATAAAGCGTGAGAAGCCCTGAGCTAGCCTTTGCACCCTTTCTGGACATTACCCCTTTCTGCCTCTAGAGACAATCGCTGGATATAAATGAACAAGCGAGGAGGGAGCATTCTGGAAACACCCCTGCTTCTTTCGTTACAGGCTTTGCTCATTCTGTTGTTTGATTATTAGGCCTTAACCTTAATAGCTGCTAATGGATGTGTTTGTTTGTGTAAGCATTAAATGAGATAAGGGCCAACGATGTCAGATTGATAAAACCTGGCCCTTGAAGAGTCATCCAGCTGCCTCATCATATGGACAGGGAAAGTACAATGCAGAAAGACTGACTCACCCAGAGCTGAGATGGGACCCAAACCAGGTCTTCTCCACCTCAGTGCCATTTCCTTGACACCACACTCGGCTTTTCTTGAAAAGAAAGCTAACCTTTCAGAACTACCTGTGTGGCTTTAGGCAAGTCACTTATCCTCTCTGGGCTCCTCTTCCTCCTCTGTAAATAGAGTAAGTTGAACTAGATAAGCCATCTGAGGTTCATCCCATTTGGAGTCTAGATTTGGGAGCAAGAGGAAAGGATGAAAAGGGCCTGTGTCAAAGGGAGGTTTCTGTCCACTCTCCCAGCCCCAGAAATTCTGGACTTGGCACTCACTTATAATTTTTTCTTTATTGGAATTACTAAACTCTGAATCCAGCAGGTCTGTATGTGTTTCCTCCTGCTGGGATCATTGAAGCCACTGAAGCAAAGGGGGTTATCACCATTGCTCCATGCCAGGGCTTTCCAGTCAGTCACAAACTGCTTTTCTCTTTTCAAAGGATGAGTCCCGAATTAAGGCGTCTGCGGTGGATGTGAAGCCTGTGGACTACAGAGAGTATGGCAGAAGGTTGATTATGAACATCAGGAAGAACGCCATGCAGTAACATGAGGAGAGCAGTGCTGATTGGGCCGAAGTTTGAAAATAAAGAGCTGAAATGAAATTGATTTCTTCCCACCCCCTGCGTGACATTTCCACACTAGCTACCCAGTGCAGAGAGCCCCTTTATGGTGGACTAAGCAGTTTCCTCTTTTATGTGCATCTTGGAACCCATCCATGGGCAGAGGAAAGTACGCTTATATGGCTGTGGCCTGAAACCATGTCAGACCTAGGAGTCAGTCAGCAGGTGACTGTAGTACCGGTCACTCCCAGGCTTTTATCAATTTTATTAAGATTTCATTATCTTTAAGCAGGAATTATGTCACAAGTAATTGACCCCAAGTCTGCAGACAGTGAAATAAATTATGTAACTAGGGTTTTACTTCTCCAGTGGTGACACCTTCGCAACTTGGCTTTCTTCTTGGGGAGAGAGCTGAGAAGTGGTTTCGTGGAACCTGGATAGCTCAGTAAGTGTATCTTCCTAGAATTCAAAGGATCTCTCTTTCTAGAGGTGCCACATACTTGTTAATGCTTGGTATGGCAATACAGTAGAATTATTAATCAAAGACATATCTCTTATATCTGAAGAATATCCTTCCTTCGGGGTTTAATAGGCTGAGTCAGATGGGTCTGATATTAATCAAAATTGCCTCTTCTGAGGAAGGCTGATAAGCATTGACTTGCTGTCCCCGAGGGAAATCCAGGCAACTACAAAGCATTGCTTTAGTTTTCAATTAAGGTTGCATTTTGGGTTGGTGAAGACAGTTTTTCTACCTGTATATATTTCTTGCATTTGTGTGTTTCATTTCTTGATTAAAGCTATGTTAAATAGAAAGGATTTTGAAGGGAGAAGCCCTTTGTTTCCCTTGCTTTGTTTTAATAAACAGTATATTCTGTGCTTATGAATCCTACTTCCTTTGATTGCAAAGTGTTCTTATAACTGGAAAGCAATTAATTAGCCTTCATAATAAATGTTCACTTGGGGGAGATGTTAACTCATTACAAACTCGAAGATTAGTCCAAGGCATGGAGCTCGTTCTTCCCAATGTTTGCAACCCTGAAATGCATCTTAAAACGAAAACGCTAAAAACAAAAAGCCATTGTGCGCAAGAATGCTGATGATCTGGCACTTTGGGATTTTACTGATGTTTACACAGCAGTCTAACACCAACCAGGCTTTGAAATGTGTACAGACAGTGAGCTAGTAAGAAAACAGCAATTACGCTACTGGGCTTTTCAGTCAGCAAGAGCATGCTTGCTCTGTGTGTTCCTAATCATATTAATCATCTATCCGGTTGCTGCAACCTACAGCTTGGCATTTGCTGCACACCTCTCTCCAAGTAACCGGGCAGCATTGCAGTGAGCCTGCAGCTGGGGGACCTGGTTTTTAATCTGTGCAAATGCAGCATATGGAGGCACTTTGTGGCATTGTAGGGTGACAAGATCCTGTCTGTTTCCCCGTTACTGTCTTCTGTTGGGAGGAACCAGCTCACTCTAGGCAGGATGGCTCCCATTCCTGTGAACAGACTTGGAGAGGGCCCTCTTGTCAGGCCCATTAGTTGTTCAGACGTATTCCTCCTTACCCTTCTCTAGTCTCAGAAGATGATAATTGGGTTGCACTTGATTCTCTGGCTGAGGCCTCACAGGTTTTACAGAAGCTCTTTCCTGCCTGACCTTGCTTATAAAGCACTGACTGGAAGATCACAGTCTTCCACACTATTCTGGATTGACAAATTGTGGGTTGGAAGTGGTAATCCAGCTTTCAGTCCAGTAACCAGTCTTTTATATCTACTACTCCCAGCATTCACTCCTGTCTCCAGTGTGTATCTATCTACCCAGCGAGGAGGACTGACTGCTAGTGTTACCGTGATGCATCTAGAGAACATTGTACAGTCACTGCTCTTTCTAATGACCAATGTGACCAAACCAGCGTGTCTACATGGATGTGATTAGAAATCCAGGGGAAGTGTTGTAGGGAAGGGGGGCTCTCTAGAGAGGATTTTTAACAGATTTCCCTGCTAAAAATCAGATCACCAGTAGAGGAGCCTGAGAAATTGGCTCCACTGCTATGCTTTTAAGAGATTGAGGTCCCTGAGGAATGCCTAAATAGATTCTGGCCCACAGTTCTTAGAATTCTCTTGGCTATAGTTTACCTCGCAAGACTGTTCACGTTCTATTTCTCATCTTTCACTTGTAGATCAGCGTTTACTTGCATACACCATGACATCGGCGTTAAGCAATTAGGAAAAAAATCTAATCATTTCGCCTTTATTTTAAATGGTTCTTGAATTCCCTCCAGCCTCATTGTGAAAGAGGCTGGAAAAAAAATAAATCTGATTTCTGTCCATATTTTCAGTGTTTTATGCTTTCCATTACAGCCTAGCTCATCTCTAGGGTGCACTTCTGACTTTTTTGAACTGCAGGGTCAAAAATGTCCCCCTCCCTCACTTTTTGTTTCTGAGTGGCCTGTCTTTGAAAAGTATAAATAATATCGATTGTGGTATTTAATACACTAATGAAACCTATGGTTATTGACTACATAATTAATATACTGTCTAAAAGTGAAGTTTGGCAGCCCAATATATAAAGGTTTATATTGTGTTTCTTTGGCAATATGCCTTCCAAGGTTTTATTTATAGAAAATGAAACCAGTTGTTTAGTCTCCTTTACTTCTTTTCGATGGTTAGAAGGCCAACACTCCCCTACTAAATTGATTGTTTCCTTATCTCAAAGAGAGGGTTTCTTCCCTACTCCTCTCCTTTTTACTGGTTTGTTAGCTCTTAGTAGTAAGTAATGCACTCTGTGGATGGAGTTCTGGCTTTTGGAAATAATCAGTTTTTCCTTAAAAAGACTTTAGATGTTTTATTTCCATTTATTTCAAATTAAGCTGAGTGAGTATATTTCATTTATGAAACTGATGTGAAGTATTATTAATATGTGTTAAAATAAAAAAGGAAAGGGGACTATTTGGACCTGCGGTGCAGTGGGTTTCTCTTACACATAGACTTCCTGGCCTTGGGTTTCTAATCCTGCCAAAAATGATTGGTGGGCCACAGTCTTGCAAGGGATTGGTCAGTATACTATGCAAATAGGGTGCATAAAACCACCCATTAAGATTAAGTGACCTTGCAGGAATTGGTCGATTGGCCTACCATGGGGATGGTCAGTTTGTGGTCTGGCTGGGAGGGCCATCCCTTAAATTGAATATAAGGGTCAATTCCACAGAGGTTGAAGGGGACCTCACTACCATCAAGAAGAACCTGGAGAGGAGCGTGTGACCTTTGGACCAGGGTCCCTGTGCTGAAAACCTCCTAGACTCAGAAGAGAGTGGCAGCACAGAAGGTGGCGTAAGAGAAACAGTGGCAACTGTACAAGTGGCGAGAACCGTGGGACCAGCAGGCAGCTGCAGGGGTACTTGCCAGCCCAGGGAACAAGAGAGAGCTGAGCGCCTTTAGACAGGAGGCTTCCTGGGGGAGTGGCATGCGTCTGGGCACTTGTCCACAGAGTTAAAGAGCTGGAACATTGCCCGAGTAGGGCAGAGGCCTGGAGAAGGGCTTGCCTTCGAGCTCAGCCAAGAAGGAGCTGAGAGCCATCCCGGTTGGAAGCTGTCCTGATTGACGAACTGTATCCAGTCTCCTGAGTTGTATGTTGATCCTGATCTGAGTTGTAGCCTGTTACTTCCCTAATAAACCGTATAATCGAGAGTATGGTCCCTGAGTTCTGTCTGGCCATTGCAACAAATTACCAAACCCAGCAGAGAAGTAGAGAGCACCATGGGGGAGGGGAGGAGAGGCTAGTGTCAGAAATGGTGAAAAAGTTGGAGAGTGGATTAAGTCCGACCTCCACCTCAGGAATCAGCTTTGGGCTGATCTTGGTGATTCTCATCCCTCCTCCCGAATGTAGACAGGTTCAGACGCTAGGTTACAGGACCATTGATTGTTTCTTATACAAGTGATCCATGTTCATTGTAGCAAAATAACATGCAGGTAAAAAAAAAATTGCCCATAATTTCACAAACCAGCAATAACTTCTTGTAGAGCTGACCACTTTTTTCTATGCACTTATGTGTATAAATATAGGTTTAATGAAAAGTGCAGCTTGTGCATACTCTTCCCGGAACACTTTTCTCCTAGCACGGTCAGGTGGACATCTTTTCTATTAAAAATACATCTGTATGAATTTCACTGGTATCTGGCTATATTTGGGTATATGGATGCGTAAATTTATTGAGCCATTTCACTTGCTGAATGCTTATATTTTTGTGATTGTAATCATAAGCTCAGCTTTCGATGAACAGGAGCATTTATACTTTGTCACACTGGGAAAATATATGCCTTGTTTTGTTAGGGTCTCTCACTTTTCTTTTTGCCATAGTCCAGCGATAACTCCTCTAACCCTGTGTACCATCAAAGGCCAGCAGGTAATTTGAGCAGGCCCTAGAATCCTCTTGGGCAAAGGAAGGTAGATTACTGTGGGGGGAAGAGGGGAGTGGAAGGCTTCTGAACCATGGGTAGTTTACTGCTACCTACCACATGGATGGAATTGTGGTTATCAAGAGGCCTCAGCGCTCTGGTTTTCTGTTAGTGTGTGGAAAAGTGGTTTCTCAAGAACACATTTGACTGACTTTATAAATCACACCTGATCCTGGAGTCATCAGGAAGGACTTCACAAAGAATTGGGCGACTTGAGACTCAGGAAAATCGTAACCTTCATTTAAGTCAGGGGCTGTCTGATTGTGCCACACTTGATAACAGTCATCCATTCTATATTCATTTGTGACGATGGAGCCATGTGGATGCCATGAAGGTTAGGTAGAGGGCACTAAAGAATATTGGGCTCCTTGTGTGAATAGTGTTTGACTGTGGGTAGTGTAAGGGGACCTTCCTTGCGTTATCTATTACCAGATCCCAAACTCTTGCACTGGAGTTCGTGGCTTACCAGTGAAGTTGTGTGTGTATTTGAGACTGAATCAACCACCCGGCCACTTTTTCAGCCTTTCAGCTTTGCCAGGCTCTTAATGACTGTCACCTTGCACCCCCTACTTCTTAAATCTCAAACTATAATTTTCAAGAAAACAGTCTCTTTTTTTTTTCAGCCTTGAATAAATCGCGTGGGAATTGTGATCCCACCTGCCTTGTGAGAAATATTTATATCCAATTCAAAAGTGGTCATGTAAACTTTTAATAATTGTAAGCCATTCTTTTAAAATTGTACCTGCTCCCTAGTGTATTACCCAGTTGGTAATTGGAAGTTTGTGCTGTCATTAAAAATGACAGCTCCTCAGATAACGTTCTTGGTGCTTGTAAAATGCAGATAACCGAGCCTATATTTAACTTGTGTGTGGTGCCAGCTTCCTTTCAACAGTTAGGTAACCGAGGGGCTGGCGCCTGGTGAAGTAGGAGAGCTCGCTGCAGGGAGCAGCGGCTTTGTGCTCATGAATACCCTGCCCTGAAATGGAGTCAGAACAACCAGGACTTTTTAAAAATAAGCACCAATTGGACTCTCATCTCTTTGCTCTCACAGTTGACACTGCTGCTCATGCTGAAGTTTATTTATATCTTCAGTTAGCCATGGTACAGAGGTCATTTCTTTTGGCCTAAAATTTTAGAGGCTTCTGTGTTTGCCTAGGAAAGCTGATCTCCTCAGCACTTAGGCTTGTAATGCAAAGCTTGTCTTCTGCAGCAGCTTTTCTGCTTCCATAACGCCCCGACTCCCACCACCACCGCCAATTTCCGTCTCCACTATTTATTTAAAACTTGAATAGCTTTATAAGGTGCAGCCCTGTAAATGAGCTCTCCTACTCTAATGGGCTCTCTCCAGGCAGCAAACCTTCCATAAAGGAGCCCTAATTAAGCAAAAAAACGGTTTGTCTTGCTTAGCCACATTTCATGAATCCAG